GGGAGGAGAGGAGGAGGAGGAGGGAGGAGGAGAAGGAGGAGGAGGAGGAGGAGGAGGGGGGCCTTCGGTGGAGCTTCCCATGGGGCCACGAAGCGTGTGATGGGTGTGCCGAGACGGGGTGGCGCCCATACCTCTACCCCTCCCTCGTTGTCCCCTTTTGGGCCCCCCCGGGCGGGCCTCGTCGCCACCGCTGGGATTCGTGTCGATGTCCTGGTCAGAACGCGCTCCGGGAGAGGCCCAGGGAGTAGCGGTATGTGTGCCTCTTGGCTTCTCGAGGGTGGCAAAGAGGGGGGTAATGACTGGGGGGGGTGGATATCATGGCGGGGGCCATGATATCTCCCCAGATCTGATGGCGCTTCTTATTATTCCATTACGTCCCCCCCGCCCCCTGGGCCGCGCACATGCCGCTCCGAGAAATCCGCGCGGCCCTCCGAGCATTTATTTTTATGTCGTTGTTCGTTCCCCTAGTTCTCGCCACCTCGTCCCCCTGGTTCGTTCCCCTAGTTCTCGTCCCCGAGTTTTGATCTGTATGTCGTTGTTCGTTCCCCTAGTTCTCGTCCTCTCCATCCATCGACGTCTTTCTCTTCGACGCCGCCGTCGCCTCGGTTGTCGCCGACGGCACCGCCGCCGTACCTCGGCGGCCCCCTCGGGCGCCGTCCCCGCCGTCGTCGCCGCCGCCGTCGGCGTCGTCTTCTTCGACGCCGTCGTCGCCGCCGGTCGCCGCCATGCGTAGGGCGCAGTGCCCCTCGGAGAGATCCCTGGAGGAGGCGCGCTCTTGACAGCCCGCCGCCGTCGTCGACGTCCTCTTCGACGCCACCCTCTTCGACGCCTCTCGACGTCGGCGTCGGCTTCGACGGAAACTCCGCCGTCGTCGGCGTCGGCGTCGGCGTCGCCGTCGTCCTTGGGCAAGGCCCCGTCGAGCGGCCCCGTCGACGGGGCCCCCGGAAGGAGGCTCCCCCCCCTGGAGGGCGCGGCGAGCGCGCGGGCGGGAGCTGCCTGCTTGCCGCCGTCTCGACGCCGCGGCCGTCGACGTCGTCGTCGACGTCGCCAGCGTCGTCGTCAACGTGGTCGCCGACGTCGTCGTCGTTGGCGTCGCAGCCGTCGACGTCGACGTGGTCGCCGTCGACGTCGTCGCAGGCGAGTCGCAGCCGCCGACGGCGCCGCCGACGTGGGCGTCGTCGTCGGCGCCTCCGTCTGCCCTGGCGCCCCCAGGTGGGGTCGTCCTCGCGGTTCTCCGGGCACTCCAGCGTCACCGAGGTGGCCTCGCCGCCGCCCGCTTCGCCCCATCTGGGGAGGAGGAGCACGAGGTGGGGAAGAGGGGGAGGGGAGGTGCAAGAGGGGGGGAGAAGAGGTGGGGAGGAGCCAGAGGGGGGAGGGGAGGGGCAAGAGGTGGGGAGGGGAGGAGCAAGGGGAGGGGAGGAGCAAAAGAGGTGGGGAGGAGGGCAGTTTTGAGGAGGGGTCAGGCTCAGGGGGGAGTTTTTCACGAGTCTCGAGGTCCAGGGTGGTTTGCATCCGCTGCGCCTCGTCGATGGCGTTCCCGGGGTGCCAGAAGTATCCCGAAGGGTCGCGGGACTGCCCAGCTATGACCTGAAAGCGGGGGGACAGCGACAGGGTGGGGATAGGCTCAGGAGGATTCCATCGACCCCCAATCGCCCACTGATCACCCCGCCCAGAAACTTGCGGATACTATTCGGGGGTGGACAGATACCCCAACAGTGACACGTCGATTAGTGAATTGTCCGTTTTCGGTTCTCGAGATGGCGCCGTGGCCGTTATTTTCCAGGCTTGCGCCTGCCAGGTTTGGGCCTCAGGTCGTCTTCACTAAACCACGTGTTCCGAAAGCGGGGTCTTTCCATCCCCGAACCATCGGGGGCCAATCGCCGATCTATCGGCGATGTGTCGCCGATTCCAGGCTGATGTTTCCCCCCCCCGCCTGGAGTCGGTCCCCCTCCCCCCCCTTGGGGTTCCCCCTCAGAGGTGAGAGGAGAGAAAGGTGGAAGGCCGAGGGGCTAGGAGGAGGTGGAGCGAGGTGTTCCTAAGGTGAGGTTTTTTTGGGGGGGGGGCGGGGGCCCGTGCAGGGACGAGGTTTTGTACAGTCGGGGCCTCGAAGAAGGAACGCTTTTCGTGGGGGAGGGGCTCGGTGTTCCTCGATTGTTTCACAGTGTGCCCCACGTTTTCCTTAGGTTTTCGATGTGACATCGAAGTTTAACTTATGGAAAATAGGGGCCTCGTTCCTTATTTAGGGTTGCTTAGGTCAACGCCCCGACTGTAGGAGGAGGTGAAGTGAGGGGTGTTCCTAAGGTGAGGTTTTGGGGGGGGGGGGGGGGGGGGCGTGCAGGGGCGAGGTTTTGTACTTCACGGAACGATTCTGTGACGGGGCAGGCCGCGAGCCCCTTCACAGGCCCATCGGGGCGCCATCTCGGCGCTCCTTCACCTCGGGTGAAGGAGCGAGGAAGGAGGGGAGGATGAGGAGGGGAGAGAGGGAGGGCTGGGCCGTCGTCGTCGTCGTCGTCGTCATCGTCGTCGTCGTCGTTGTTGTTTTGGAGGTCTTCGGGTGGTCTGGAGCTTTCCGTCGCCGCGGCCAGGCGCAGCTTGAGCAGCGGGCTGGGACGGGGAACCCAGCACGGGCTTGTGGACCGATCTTTTGAGCAGTGGATTTGTATCATCGGGTGACGACGACGACCACCATACAGTCGGCTCGAATTAGCAGGTCGAGCCTGCCAAATCAAGAGTACCCTTGTGCCCTGTGTCTCGCGACCCATGCCTCCTGCATCCCTATGGTAATGTGGCCCTCGGAAGGGTCTTGTGTCCTCTCGCGTGTCCTTTCCAATCAAGGCCGACTCCACAGGGTTGCCGAAAGCCGCCGTGCAGGAGGGGCGGGAGTTTCGAGGAAGTGAAGGGGCTCCTCAGAAGCAGGAGGAGGAGGAGGAGGAGGAGGAGGAGGAGGAGGAGGAGGAGGAGGAGGAGGAGGAGGAGGAGGAGGAGGAGGGAGGAGGAGGAGGAGGAGGGGAGGAGGAGGAGGAGGAGGAGGAGGAGGAGGAGGAGGAGGTGAGGAGGAGGAGGAGGAGGAGGAGGAGGGGGAGGAGGAGGAGGAGGAGGAGGAGGAGGAGGAGGAGGAGGAGGAGGAGGAGGAGGAGGGGGTGGGGGGAGGGGGGGAGGGGGAGGGGGAGGATGGGAGGAGGGGAGGAGGAGGAGGGGAGGAGGAGGAGGAGGAGGAGGAAGGAGGAGGAGGAGGAGGAGGAGGAGGACCGTACATCCCGTGATGGAGTGCGCTCTGACCAGAAGTTTGACGTGGCTCCAGCCGGGGCCGAGGGAGCGCCTCCGGAGGCCCGAGCGCGGCCCAGAACCTCGGTCCTCGACCCCCCGATCGGCGGCGGCGGCGGCGGCAGCGGCGTCGGTGGCATCCGTGCAGTTGCGTGGCCTGGCGCAGTGGGAGGAGGAGGAGGAGGAGGAGGAGGAGGAGGAGGAGGAGGAGGAGGAGGAGGACCCCGCTGGGCCGCGCACATGCCGCGGGTCATGATTTGCACCCCCCCCCCTCTTGGACGCCCCCCTCTTTGCCGCCCCCGATCAGGCCCCCAGAGACCAGGACAGGGCTAAACCAGGACACGGAAAATCAAGGAAACGGCATCCCTTCCTGCAGAGTCACGTTCTTCAGCACCCGTGCATTTTTTGTTTGCTGCACTGCAGGATTCGGGTGTGTGTCCGGGTTGAGGGGGGTCTTGCAGGCTTTTGGGGCCTGTGTCCGGGTTTATTCTGGAAATGCTGCAGTGCAGTATTTTGTTTTTGCCGCCGTTTGGAAAAAATGGTTTCGAGAGATGTTGGGTGTCCAGGTCTAGCGTGTCCGGGTCTACGGGGCCCTGACACCTCAGAAGGTTTTTAGTTTAGACCCCCTCCCTCTCTCGGCGGTGAGTGGGACTGGTCCTAAAGCCTCCTCGTCGCGGCGGAGATTCTTTTCCCTCGATTGCTGGGCGGGCTGACTAATGTTGGGGGCTTTGTTCTCACAGGGAATACTGCACTCTGGGCACCCCTGCACGGCAGAGCAATTTTGAGCACGTTTGTAAGAACATATAGATCTACATATTCTTCGCCGAGGGCGCTGCTCGCCATCTTCTCCTTCATGTCGTCGTGTTTGCAAGAATATTCCACCATGTGTTCATATACATATGCAGAATACACGCGCATCTTCAGCGTCGGCGCCAAGATTTTCCATGAGAGCGCTCCCGAGGCATAATCACTAGTTGTCGTTGTAGTCGCAATCGTAGTCGTAGTCGCAATCGTAGTCGTAGCTCTCGGCGTCGTTGTTGCGCGGCGGGTGCCGCGGGGAACATCATTAGTTTCCGTCGTTGGTCGAACACCAATCCGCGAATAAGGCCGCTGACAAAATCATGGATTCCACCTTATTGGGGGTTCTAAAGACCTTTCAAGGTTATTCGTTCATTCTCCCACTCGAGAGGACAAGCACGATGAACATGACCAAGATGTCGTGGGGTCTTGTGGACGCCGATCTTGGACATCGTCCATCACGGCCGTCGCCGATCTGCGAGGACGATCCACGAATTGACGATGACCAAGATGGACGATGGCCAAGATCGACGCCGACGCTGCCGCGCTCAGTTCTGGCCGTGGTCATCCTTGTCTTTCCCTCTGTCCAGGGGCAGAGGGGGAGCGTGAAGAGAGGAAGGAGGAGGAAGAGGAGGAGGAGGAGGAAGGGAGTAGTAGTAGTAGTAGTAGTAGTAGTAGTAGTAGTAGTAGTAGTAGTAGTAGTTGTAGTAGTAGTAGTAGTTAGTAGTAGTAGTTAGTAGTTAGTAGTAGTAGTAGTAGTAGTAGTAGTAGTAGTAGTAGTAGTAGTAGTAGTAGTAGTAGTAGTAGTAGTAGTAGTAGTAGTAGTAGTAGTAGTAGTAGTAGTATTAGTAGTAGTAGAAGTAGTAGTAGTAGTAGTAGTAGTAGTAGTAGTAGTAGTAGTAGTAGTAGTAGTAGTAGTAGTAGTAGTAGAGAGTAGTAGTAGTAGTAGTAGTAGTAGTAGTAGTAGTAGTAGTAGTAGTAGTAGTAGTAGTAGTAGTAGTGTAGTAGTAACAGTAGTGGTAGTAGTGGTGGTAGTGGTAGTAGTCGTAATAAGTAGTAGCAGTAGTAGTAGTAGT